GGCTGTAGAATGCCCAGATGGAAGGTAAGGTGTCGTTCCTCAAACGTACATTCTGAATCACTGCGACACCAGAGGAGGCCGAGGAAGGACATGTTGGAGGAGGAGTGGGTGGGGGGTTAGCGGGAGTTGAAATGGGTGGTGACTGGGAGGATAGGTTGGCCGTTACGGGCCAGGTGAAAATGCTCAGCAAAACAATCACCTAGTCTACATTTGGAGCACCAGATACCGTAGGCTAGGGTGGAGGAGATACAGCAGGTGAAGCTCTATCTCACCTGGAAGGACTGTTTGGGGCCCTGGATGGAGGTGAGAGAGGTGCTGTATCAACAGGTGTTACAGCTTTTACAGCTACAGGGGAAGGTACGTGGTGGGGGGGGTTGGATTGGTTGGTGGGGCATGTGGCGCGAACTCCCCAAAGCCTGTCTTCCATCTACAAGGTACAAGTCAGGAGTGTAATGGAATATTCCCCACTTGCCTTGATGGATGTGATTCTAACAACACTCGAAAAGTTCAACAACATCCAAGACAAAATAACCCATTCACTGACACCACATCCACCACCTTCAACATTCACTCTATTCTCCGCTGACACATTATCCACAAAGAGAACTCACCAAGGTTCCTGAGGCAGCACTCTCCAAACCCACAACACCTACCACCTGGAACAAGGGCAGCTGGTGCATGGGAATTAAACTCCACCTGCAAGTTTCCCCTCCAAGCGACTCACTATCCTGACTTAAAACTATATCATTTTTTGGATATCCTAAACTGCATTAAGGTAGACAAGTCCCCAGGACCAGATAGATCTATCCTATTACTGTGAGAGGCAAGGGAAGAAATAGCTGGGGCATTAGCAGATATCTTCACATCCTCTTCGACCATAGGCAAGGTTCCAGAGGACTGAAGATTAGCCAATGTTGTTCCCTCATTTAAGAAAGGAAGCAGGGATAATCCAGGAAATTATAGGCCAATGAGCCTGACATCTGTAGTGGAGAAGTTTTTGACATCTTAAGATATTAAAGGGACAGGATATATGCACATTTGGAAGAAAATGGACTAGTTAGCAACAGGGAGCATGGTTTCAGACAGGGAAGTTCATGTCTCAGCAACCTGATTGAATTTTTTGAAGAGGTGACAAAGATAATTGATGAGGAGAGAGCTGTGGATGTAGTTTATATGGGCTTTAGTAAGGCATTTGATAAAGTCCCACATAGCAGATTGGGACAAAAATTAAAATCACATGGGATTCGGGGTGGGCTGGATAGATGGATACAAAACTGTCTTGGTCATAGAAGACAGAGGATAGCAGTGGAAGGGTGTTTTTCAGAATGGAGACCGATAATTAGTCGTGATCCACAAGGATCAGTCTTAGGTCTTCCGTTGTTTGTAGTATATATAAATGATGTGGAGAAAAACGTGGGTGCTCTGATTAGTAAGTTTGCAGATGACATGAAGATTGGTGGAGTTGCTGATGGTGCCGACATTTGTGAAAGGATACAACAGGATATAGATAGATTGGCGACTTAGGCATAGAAATAGCAGATGGAGTTTAATCCATACAAATAAGAGGTGACACATTTTGGAGGATCAAATTTAGGTGTGAATTATACTATAAATGGCAGAATCCTTAGGAACATGAACATAGAGATGGCTCGGGGTGTGCAGGTCCACAGTTCCCTAAAAGTGTCAACACAGGGGGCCAGGGTGATTAAGAAGGCATATGGCATGCTTGCTTTCAATCGGCCAGGGTATGGAGTACAAGAGCTGGCAAACCATGTTGCAGCTGTATAAAACCCTTGTTAGGCCACATTTGGAGTATTGTGTGAAGTTTTGGTCGCCACGTTACCAGAAGGACTTGGAAGGAGTGCATATAAGGTTCACCAGGATATTGCCTGGTCTCGAGGGCATTGACTATGAGGAAAGGCTAAAAAGACTAGGATTGTTTTCACTGGAAAGACAGCGGCTGAGAGCAGACTTCATAGAGGTCTACAAAATTATTGGAGGCATAGATATGGTGGATAGTCAGTGGCTTTTCCCCACGGTTGAAGTTTCAATTACAAGGGGGCACAGATTCAAGGTGAGAGGGCAAAAGTTTAAGGGAGATGTGTGAGGAAAGTTTTTCACGCAAAGAGTGGTAGGAGCCTGGAATGCACTGCCAGAGGTGGTGGTGGAAGCAGACAAGTTGGCAACATTTAAGAGGCATCTGAATGGGTACACGAACAGGGAGGGAATAGAGGGATACGGACTAAATAAAGGCAGAAGGTTTGTTTTTTAGTTTAGTCAGGGCATGATGATCGGCACAGGCTTAGAGGGCTGAAGGGCCTGTTCCTGGGCTGTACTTCTCTTTTGTTCTTTATATTGCGGTTCCTTCTGTGTCACTGGGTCAAAATCCGAGAAAGCCCTTCCTCACAGCACTGTGAGAGTCCCCACACTCAAAGGACTAAAGCAGTCCAAAGTGGCAGATCAGCACCACCTTCTCTGGGGCAATTAAGGATGCGCAACAAATCTAGCCCTGCCTGCGATGCTCAGACCCGATAAAGTAGTAAAGAAAAAGAGAGAAGTGCTTCTAAGTTGTCATGAGAGAAATTATTGGCTTATCCCTCTTTCCTTTTAGAAAATTAATCACTTTGTTCACTTCCCTTCAGGTTGACATTATTAAATTAGTGTTAGAAATGGTCATTAGAAAGAATGTATTTAATAAACTGCATTAAAGTTACGTCAACATAGTCTTACCAGACCATAGTCTATTTGCTTATTCAAGAGACAACTGGTGGTGGTATAACCTGAGGGTCACCACACCTCAGACAAGGGGAGAGGCTGAGAAAGAGAATCCTTCATAGCAACCTCTGGTGGTGTGGGAATTGAATTCACATTGCACAGTGATGTGAACACCACAAACCAGCCATCCAGCCGAATGAGCTAAACCAACCCCTGTAAATATCTTTGGTTACAAGCATAGTCTTATAATTAAAACTCTGATGTTTTGTTTACAGGTGTTGCCTAACCTGTTTATTTCCAATGTGATTTGTTTGATACCCAATCTCTAGCATTTGCAGTTTTTTGTACCAGTTTAATTTCCAAGCATTAGTGTCTGCTTACAGAAGCCCTTGGATATCTGTAAAATTGCAGCGCGTGTATTTTTCAGGAACACTGCAATCCTCTTCAATTCTAATCCTAAATTCACTAAGAAATAACTAAAATTAATTAAATTCCAAAAAGTGAAGCAACTCAATGTCCATTACCACATGATTAAACGAGCGCATTTTGTAACTTAAGATTTTTGCAATCTCCAAAAATATAGATTGATGGTGTTGGAGTGGGGCTTCAGAGCCCAGGATTCATCTGCTCCGTCTGGTTTTCTTCTCTATTCATCTCTTTTTTATCTCATTTATTTTATTGTACTTACCTCTTGGTGAAAAGCTAGGTTGCAGCAACAGCATCAACAGTGGTGAATAGGTCCAGCAGCACAGACTCAAGGCAGCAACAGAGGTGAATTTGGGTCCCTCGTTGCTTCTGCATTGTCGAGGTGGCCCTAGCGCTGAATCAGGGCTACTGTGGTGGAAACAGGTTTGAGTTCCCAATGGCATCAGCTTCCAGTGCAGGCTCATGGAGGCAGCAGCGGAGGCGAGTTTGGGCACAGTTCGAGACCCAGCAGCATCAGCAGTGGCTGCATTGGCAAGGTGGAACCGAAGTGGACTCATGGCAGTGGCAGAGTGGAGTTTGAGCTGGTGTGGTATAGGATAGCATTGGTGGCATCTGCGTTGGCGAGGTACATAGTGGAGAGGACGTCAGTGGAGGCAAGATAGCAACAAACAGTGGCAACTTTCATTACAGTGGTGGCGGTGCGAAGAAGGGGCCTTGCGCTTGGCCACCAGGCCTATGGCCCATGATGCAACACTTGAGAATGACTGTAAAGTTGGGCATTTTTTCTTAATTTTTCTGCCTTGATATTTCAGCTTTGGTTTATTTTTCTGTGTTTTAACATTGCACCGGAGAGTGGCAACACTATACAACCCTTCTCACTGTATTTTTGTTACAAGATACTCGTGACAATAAATAAATCAAATCAAATATAGATATTTCAGAATGACACCTTTAAGACATCCTAATATCCATGCACAACATGTAGTATTTCATGAAAATGATCAAATATAATTTGAAGTACTTAAAATCAGACAATAAGTGAAACGTTAAACCAACTCTACAAGTTACTTGTACTGTAATAATAAATGTCAATTCACTTTCCGTCGCGCAGTGACAGCTCATATATCTGCCATTGCAGCTGATACATCAATATATCACAGGTGAGCTGAATATGGGGGAAAATGGACTGTCGATTTTATAAAACGTATTTAAATTGAGATGATCGATCATTAGGGTAGAAATGAACCAATAGGGAGGCGTTAGCAGAAACATGAACAGAAAGAAATGAAAAACGCCACCTGCAGAAAAGTTAACTTCCTTTATAAGGCCTCTGTTTTTAAAAACACGGAGTTCCTTCTGAAAGTGCATTAAACATCAAATTCCACAAAGTAATTAAATTACAAGGGACTTGGGCACGACTAAGCGGGTCACGCCAGATGTATTTGGGCGAACTTGGAATTGAAATTGATAGGAGAGGATTGATTCAGCAGAGTAAAATGTCAATTGTGTGACAGGAAACTCACTGACAAGACGGCCAGCTGACTGACAGAAACAGACAGCGGTTGCTTCAATGAAGGGGAGGCACTGGCCTGGGATAACCCTCATGGGCTGACCGTCAGGGCCGGGGACAAGGAGAGGGCGAGGGACTGCCAAACCCCGGTCACGACCACCCTGCGCCCTCTGAAACTACGCCGGGCCTTGCTACATTGAGCCGCGGCCTGGGACACAACAAGTTGCTTCGCTGCCTGCCATCACTGGCGGCCGCTCCGCCGGGCCCGGGGTTACTGCAATACGGAGCTAACCCCCGGGGTTCGAGCCGCCGCCCACAGATCGCCTGAAACAAGCAGATCGTTACTTACGGTGAAGTGCGGGTGTTCGAAAACCACACAACGATCTAGGCCTAGACTGGGCCCAACTCCCACCGCCGCCTTCAGTTGTTGTTGTTGTTGTTGTTGACAGCAGCGGCGCGCAGGCGCGCAAACAATCACACACAGCGCCCCCACAGGACCTTGCTCGTACTGCAACCATCTCAGACAGCGCCCTCCACAGGTTCCACCCGGCACTGCAGCCATCGCTCACTGCACGCCAACAGGGTCCAGCCGGCATTGCAGGATCCACCGGGCATTTCAACCATCCAGGGAGATGCCACAGCATCTAAGACATACTACACTGCAACCATTCCCAGACAGCACCCCATAAGATCAGAGATAGTAGGAACTGCAGATGCTGGAGAATCCGAGACAACAAGGTGCAGGGCGATGCTGCTTGGCCTGCTGTGTTCATCCAGTCCTGCAGCCCATAAGATCAACCCGGGTTGCAAACATCGCAGACAGCGACTCCAATGGATTTACCCAGTACTGCGACCATTCCCAGACAACTTCCCATAGAATTCATCGGCACTGCAACCAGCCCACGCCCCACCACTCTCCACGACCTATCTTCCTCTGTAACCATTCGCACACATCCTACTGACAAGATGTACCTGGCACTGAAAACATTCTCAGACAAGCACCCCTGACAGGATCTACTTGGGACTGTAACCATTCGCACACACCAACCCCAATATGATACACCCAGCACTGCAGACAATGAGAACATCACAGCACCAACACCACCTGGCAATGTGACTATCCCCAGGTTGCAAGTCCCACAGCTTCCATCTGGCACTGTAACCATTCCCAGACCATGCCTGAAACCGGTTCTACAGAGTACTGTAACCATTCCCAGACAGTGCACCCACAAGATCTACCCAGCACTTTAATGATACAAAGGCAATGCACCAACAGTATCTACTTAGTACTATAACCATTCATAGACAGTAGTACCGGAAGGATCTAATCAGCACCATAACCATCTCCCTGACAAGGACCCACTTGATACAGTAACCATCCACAGACAGCACATCCACAGAATGTAGCCATTTCTATAACTATCCCCAGACAGTACCCAACCCCACCCTCCCATACCGTGATTGCCAAGCACTGAAAGCTGTCCCACAAATTATGACCAGTGTGGTAACCTTCCCTAGGTGGCACGCCACACAAAATCTACCCAGTACTGTAATGTTCCACAGACAGTGCCACCCACAGGATCTACCTGACACTGTAACCATCCATCTACCCAGCACTGTCAACATCCACAGACAGCATGTAGTCTCCATTCCCAATGATCTATCTGGCATGGTGACAATTCATACACAGAATTCCTAACAGTATCCAGCCAGCAGCATAACCATTCCCAGGCAACACTCCCTCAAGACCTACCCAGTGCTGTAACCATCCCCAGACAGCACCACCAACAGAATTTACCCTCTACTTCAGCCTTCCCCATAAAGTGTCACGCATAAGATCTATCCTGTACTGTAACAATCGCCAGACAGTGTCTCCCACAGGATGTAGGCAGCACAGTGGCATTCCGCAGACAGTGCCCCCAACAGAATCTAGGTGGCACAATAACCAGCCCCAGATAGAACTCCCACAATTTCTACTCAGCACTAAAGCCATCACCAGACAGTGACCCCCACAGGATCTACTCAGTATTGTAACCATCACCAGCCTGTTCCACACACAGAATCGGCACGGCACAGAAACCACCACCAGATAGTGATCCCATAGATGTACCCAGCATGGTAACCTTTCCCAGACAATGCCCAAAACAGGATTTACTCGGCAGTGTAACTGTCCACAGACAGCACTCCCATGATATTTATCTGACACTGTGCATCTGAATATAATAGGACAGACAGAATCTATCCAAAACTGTAACCAACACCGTAACCAACACCAGATGCGGCTGCACAGAATATACCGGCACTGTAACCATCCACAGATAGTGGGTACTATAATATTTGCCGAGCACTGTAACCATCCCAGATTCGCCCAACCTTCGCCCATCGCCCCACAGGATCTAACCATCCTCAGACAGTGTCCCCCACCACCACAGGACCAATCAGTGTAACTGTAATCATTCCCAGACAGTATCCACCTCTCAGACAGGAATCACTTACTACTATAGCCATCCAGTGACAGTGCCATGAAGAAGAAATACATGGTACTTTAACAATTCTTAAACAGTGATTCAACAGGAACTTCTTGGCAGACTCGTCAAGATTACACAGTGGTATACAGTTAGAAGGGAGTTGTCCTGGGAATCCTCAATATTGACTCTGGACCCCTGAAGTCAATGACACCAGTTCAAACATGGACAAGGAAAGTTCCTGCTATTTACCACCTGTCACCCTCAACCCTCTCAACTGATGTGCATGTTGAACACAACTTGGAGGAAGCACTTAGTGTTACAACATCAGAGAATATTGTGTGGCTGGAACTCAATATCCATTATGGAGAGTGGCTGAGTAGTATTGGAATTGCACATTTATATTTAAGACTATCTGAAAAACTAGAAGAATTTGAACTAACTTTACATTTTCTGCATTAAATAAAAAGAATGTTTGCAATGGGACTTTCTGGAAATTAAGGCAACAGTTTATAATAAGTGCTGTGACTTACCTGGTATTTGTAGGAAATGAAATGACTTTGAGTAAACAGCCAAACAATGCTTTCATGGAGATAAGAGATGTCTTAATCACTGGGAAACATGCCTTTGAAAGAATTAAGCAGCATTTGTGCTGATGGTTGCCTAGCGACCCTTTCTTTTTATACTGCAAAAATATATTTTATTCATTAAAAGAGTTATCTGTAAGTACATTCAAAGATTTGAAATCAATTCTGTGAAGTCTTTGCAGATGAAAAACAAGCAAAACATTAGATTTTTGACAATTTCTCAGTGTTTCCTGAAGTTGCAAAAACAAAAGCATTTTCTATCCATGCAGGAAACTATTTACATTCATTTTGAGCCAAAGAGGGGCCTGAAAACTGAATGGACTCTCATTATACTTTGGCTGAAGGACCTTAGATGGTGGTCTTTCCCCACTGCGCTTTAGCTGTCCCAAGCTTGAGTGCACTCCTCATCCCAGGCCTTGGAATATGCCAGTCTGCAACACCGAGTTGAGGTCAACTCTTTACTGAAAGACCAAAACATTTTAGGCAGATGAAAGGACATTTTTCATCAAGTTGATGGTCCATGAGGTGTGGTCGATGTTTGACTCTGTGTGCAGCCCATTAAACAGACTTTACGGCACAGTGTCCTGCATCACAGAAATGCTCAGGATGAACTTTGATAAAAACCAATGCATCTTTCTCGAGACCTTTACAAAGGCATATTACAGAAGTAGATTAGTGACATTCTATTCGTCAGTGCAGGTGCTTTGATGGTAGTGTGTACACAAAGGATCTGATGAATAGTGCCTTTCTCACCACCAGCCAAAATACTTCTTGGTGCTTGTTGCAAAGTTCTGGTGATGAAGCATTCTGCCAAGTGACTTTGACAGTCTTCTCAGGGAACTACTCAACAAGATCAATCCTCTTCTTTTCCCACAGGGTCTTGAGGAAGTTATGTGCTGACGACTTCCTGATAGACTTGTGGTCAGGGGTGTTTTCTTTTACAAATGTTTCCACAAAGGACAGATGATAAGGAATGGTCCAATGACTTGCGGCATTCCACAGCAATGAAGCCAGACCCATCCTTCGAAACACTGGGATCAGCTAGAGCTCAGTATGTAGTGATACTTGGTGTTTGCATACCAAAGGCTACACACAACTTGATGCAGCTGCGCTCAAAGATATGTAGGCAGCATAACGTACTTCCCCTCCTCTGCCAAGCTTATCCAGAGCTTTGTACATAATGCCCCTGTGGACACAGTCTACATTTGACCCCCAGATGGAGTGTAAGATGGCTTGGGTGACTGCAGTGGCACAAGCTCAGGGAATGGGCCCGACCTGTGCAACATTCAGCAACACCAAAAGTACCTTGCACCTGATGACCAGGTTTTTACCTGCAATGGAAAGGGAATAGTGCTTCAATCTGCCCAGTTTCTGCCTCACCTTGGCAATATCTCCTCTCAAGTTTTAGCCCACATCCCAGCCTCTCTAAACTGTACTCTCAGCGCCTTCAGGTAATCTTGCCTGACAATGAAGGGGATAAAGGATCAATTGCCCTGTTCCCAAAGAACATGGTCTTGGTCTTGTCTCAATTTAGCTTGGCTACCAGGACCAGTTTTGACTGGTCACAGATGCTAATGAGTTTACACACTGACAGTGGATCCAAGCAGAAAACAGTGACGTCACCCAGAAGTCCCCTTCTAGACTTGAATTCAGTAGATTTGAATTCAGAGGTCAGTAGACTCTACAAAAGCTGCATGATTCTCTTCTCAAATCATTTTCTCAGTAAAGGTTACTCAGAACCTGATAGTGCTTTCAAATACTAGTATTGTCTCTTCAATAAAACCTGAAGATGTAGACTGTGACAAATTCCCAAGACTGAAATCCAAGTGAATTGCAACCAGAATGAAACATCTTCCTACAATCTATGCCCTGACAACAATTCAACTTCACTGATGCGGATTTTTTTTCACATGTCTGCCTTTTTTAAAGAAGTAAATCATCTCTGCAGAGACTGGTCTTTGTTTTTGTTGTGTGTGTGTGTGTGTGTGTGTGTGTGTGTGATTAAGCGGATGTACTTTTAATTCCAGTTTATAGCTTGGGTATTGACCAGAGTTTGCCACTTGCTTTAGGAATAAGTTTTGTTCATAATAAATGGATTATTTTCAGTGTCTTAAAGAATCTGGTGGGTGTTTCTTTTATTTTTGACAGAAGTACTAGAGAAGCAAATAGTCATGTTGATGACTGAATCAACTATTTTACACAAATGATACAACTGGTGGAATAGTGGGATTTGATTATCAATACATTCCTCCATCATAGACATAGAAGTAACATCACTACTGACCGAGCTGGCTCGGTCCTAAGGATATACGTGTTAAACAATGCCTTGGGAACCAATAAGATGGGAGAAACCTACTAGACCTCATCCTCATCAATCTACGTGTCACAGCTACATTTGT